AACAACAAACTTTAACAGCGTTAATGACTCTAGACGTGTCGATACTTTTTAAAGAACGTTAGCACAACTCAAGTAATAACTCAAGCAAAAATTACCCAATGTTGACGAAATTTGGTAAAAAACATGTAAATTTACGTTTACTTGAACGAGTTCGCGAACCAGCATGATCGGACCATGAGAACGGGGTGTTCTGGGGGATTAATGGGGTAATAATAGGGTTTTCTCATGTTTGCCCCTCTAAACGTAAAATTTTCTAATTTCTCTCTAGACTATTTTGAATACCCTGATTAGTTATTTTGCTAGTTTATGGTTATATTTTGATAAAACTTGGCGAATTTATTTAACCTATTCATGTTTTAATAAAAACATACTTTATTACCCTCCCCGTAGCAGCAAACCTATTTAACACTAAACTTAATGTTATTGAAATGGATTTATTTCAAAATCATATCAGGCAAATGAAAACTCACTTAATCTGCAGGTTAGCTGCGGTGGGGGTATTTTGCCTATTCCATGAAATGCAGAGATGGCATCACAACCTGTGATTGCAAGGAAAATGAAAGATCGCTGCAGATTTCTGGAGAGAGTTGAAAAAACAAAACATTAAAAAAATTTTAATTATTTTAATTATTAACGGCCGCCATTTTGAAATGACCTAACCAAACTCGACCATTGACAAACTGGGATTAGATATAGTATTCAAGCACTTGTATGCCAAATTTCATTAAAATTGGTTCAGGCATTTTGGTATAATAAGCAATTCATAGCGACCCAGCATCCTCTTACGAGCGCCATATTGATGATGTCATTACGGGCGACCAAGGTCCTTAAAAATTCGGTTCTGGGCGGTTTTACATACTTGGTCTTATATATTATCTTCACCCTAAGTTGCAGGATCATTGCCAGAACTAAAATATGTTTCTGCTACCCAATCCCACTACTAAGCTGTCAGTGATAAGTCTAAACGATGATGGAGAAGAACGAGTTAGAGACCCTGACGATTCCATGGAAGGTGATGACGCATCAGTAGCTGATATGACACGTGGTGGTTAAAGATTCGTAACTACCAGTTTCTTGATTAATTTTCCTCACAACTTTAACATGTGACACAGACTCATGATCAATTTTGTAATATGTGATTGATATTAATTAACTGGATTATTTTACCTTAATTTGTCATATTTAGTTTTTCATCAATAAATTAGTCTTTTTCTGATAAACTGTCGGTTTTATTGCTTTTATTATGTTCTTTTTCGATTCTGCATCCTAAGAAACACAGAAAACGACACCCCACTTGCTAGGATCCCATAAATAAAAATTTTCTCAAAATCACTACCCCCATAAACTTAAAACCCCATAAAATGGTACTTCCACCCCCACAATCACTAGGGACTCTTCAGATTTCAATACCTAATGGTAATTACTACGTTTCCTGGAAGTTTCATGAATGGGCTAATTTTTATGTTTTCTACTGGGTTTTTAGTATAATTTTACCTGAACTATTACGTTATATATGTGAGTTGAACTTTTTTTGCTTCAATATTAGTCCAGCTTCGTTTTTTTATAATTATCTATTTGAACATTTTTGGAAAATATTATTTAATTTACTTATTATACCTGCTCTACAGACGACCAACTACTTGCATGAATGAACCGGCGTCTGTCTTCTGCTTTACGCCCTTTTTCTGCTCAATGATCATCATCATTGCTAGGTCAATTTCCATGCCATGCAACCTGTAGCACTACTCAACTGCATGTAAAGGCTATTAGATTTTTATGCATGCAGCTTTAAAATGGCACTGTTTTCTAATCTGTTATACAAGAAACCTCTAGTACATTGTTAATATTGTTTGATTTTCTACCTCTCTCACCAGGGTGAAGGATTTGAATAGTATATTTAAACCTCTTTATAATTTCCCACTTTTGAAGCCAAAAATGGATTTCTCAGCGGATCAGCCTGCTCAATTTGCTTCAAGAAAGTATTGGACTCGGAGAAGGGACTCCAATGTGAGCATCTCTGTGAGCGGTGGTTTCACGCTCACTGTGTTGGGGTATCCGGCCCCGAATATCAAAAACTTTCTAAGGATAAAAATTGCAAATGGGTCTGTGAAAGGGTTGATTGCGTGTCCACCAAACAGAATCCAGGCCAGATCTTAATCTCACAAATGTCTGAGGTTCTGAGTAAGTTGAATGATCTATCCAGGGTTCCTGTCGATATAGGTGATATAAAGGCTGATTTGATTGTCATCAATGAAAAGCTAACGAATCTCGAGCCCCGACTATCCGAAGTTGAGAAACGAATAGAAACCCTAGAGAACAACTTTAGTACTCTCTCATCCGCTGATCCTTCTTCTACTTCCATCGAGGCGATCGTCGAGGAAATCGGTGACAGAAATGCTCGTGCTGGCAATGTAATAATTCACGGACTTCGTGAATCCTCTAGCAAGAACACGTTAGAGAGGATCCAACATGATGGACAACTTATCAAAGATATTATCAACGCTCTGGATCTCTCAAAGGATTCTTACTCATTTAAAACGTTCCGCATTGGTAAACACGCAAGCGGCAAGTTTCGTCCCCTTAAAATCATATTTAAAGTTATCGAAGACGCTCGTGAATTTAGTTCCAGATTTGACAAAAGCAAACTGGACGAGTCTTTCTCCGAAATCGACATTTCCCGTGACAGAACTCCAAAGGAAATAGAACATCTGAAGTACCTCATAAGTGAACTGGAACGTAGGAAGAACGCTGGGGAGTCTGACTTAACTATTAAATATCGCAATGGCGTACCCAAGATCGTTAATAATTCCAAACCAAAAAACTAATCAAGCTACGTAATGGCCTTCATATATACTACCAGAACGCAAATGGATTACGTACAAAAATTCAATCACTCAGAAAGGCCATTGCAGCATGCGTTTATGACGTTATAGTAATTACAGAAACTAATCTTGTACCTGAAATAACAAATGCTGAACTGGGATTTACTAATTTCAATGTATTCCGTAAGGATAGATCGACAAAAACAAGTAGTAAAACCAGCGGAGGGGGTGTGCTGATTGCAACCGCTTCTGAACTGTGCCCAGCTGAGATCATCCCATCGAACCAAGAAACCGAAAGTCTTTTTGTTTCACTAAAGATCTCACGTGATACACAACTGTTTATTGGTGGCACATATATCCCTCCTCAATCGTCTGCTGATCTATTCTCTAAGTTTACAGATGTGGTGGATGAGGTCTTGTCTTCGGGCTCAGGATTCAGTGATATTCTTATACTAGGTGACTTCAACTTGCCTGGTACAGATTGGAAGGATTGCGCACAAATTGCTCGTCCTAGAGCCGCTCAACATATATGTGATATGGCGGCGACTCACCAACTAAAACAAATAAACTCAGTATTTAATGCTCGAGGAGTCCTCCTTGACCTCGTTTTCAGCAATAAAACCCACACCGTACTTCAAGCCGTTGATCAGCTCCTTCCCTTGGAGGATGCCCATCCTGCAATATCTATCGATGTTTCGCTCACCGCTGCACCCACGGAAAGAACCTTCACTACAATACCAGACTTTAGAAGATGTAACTTAGACAACATTTATGAAAATCTTCGCCATACTTTGGATACAGTCTATTTTGATGTGCCTGATACGTTGTTGTTTTTCAATGACATTATTGAAAAAATTCAAGGTGTGGTTCTTTCCAACACTCCGATCAAGAAAGTAAAGGCTTCCAAATTTCCCATCTGGTTCTCACCTAGGCTTAAAAGGTTAGTCATTGAGAAAAAGCGGCTCCATAAAGTTTATAAATCAACTTTACGATCGGAGAGTTATGATGAATTCCGCCGAGCTCGCACCTTGTGCAGTACCACGGCTTCACAATGCTATCAGACATACCTCAACCGTGTGAATGCTACTATTCCTAACAACTTGAAATCCTTTTGGAGCTTTGTCAATGAGCGTAAACAAGCCTTGCATACTAACGAAACTTTTCAACTTGGTGACCAGAAGAAATCCCTGCCTGTAGACGTGTGCAACCTTTTTGCTGACTTCTTTGCCTCGGTTTTTACGGATCAAAGCATCGACTTGGAACAGCTAGTCACCTATAATAGCAATGGAAGTCATGGCATATCAGCCTGTAAGTTGAGGTGTGAAGATGTGGAGCGCAAGATGGCCACCTTGGATCCTTATAAGGGAGCAGGACCCGACGGAATCCCTCCAAATGTACTAAAATATTGTCACTCTATTCTCGCTCCTCAGTTCACGGTTCTCTTTAACAAACTTTTAGAAAAGGGAATTTTCCCTGACGTTCTTAAGACTAGCTATGTCATACCTAAAATCTGACAGCAAGTCCAATGTTCAGAACTACAGGCCAATTGTGATTCAACCAACCTTGAGTAAAGTGTTTGAGAGTCTTGTTCTTGATCAGCTCGCATTTCCCTTCAAAAATGTATTCACAAAGGAACAGCATGGCTTTCTCGCCGGAAAATCCACGGTCACCAATCTTGTGTTATACGAAAACTTTATCACGAAGTCTTTTGCCCAAAAATATCAGGTTGACAGCATTTATATTGACTTCAAAAAAGCCTTCGACAGTGTTAATCACGAGCTCCTATTGCATAAACTCAACAATTGTGGTATACATGGCAATCTTCTCAACTGGTTTAATTACTACATCTCCGATCGTACTCTCGTAGTGAAATTCAGAGGATCACTCTCTAGACCCTTTTTAGCAAGTTCAGGTGTACCGCAAGGATCCCATCTGGGACCTTTTTTATTCAACATCTTTATCAATGACCTTGTTCAATTAATAGATGTTGAATGCCTACTATTTGCTGACGACATTAAGGTCTATTCTGTGATACGAGATGAACACGATTGTGAAAACCTTCAACGCAGTTTACACAATATTGAGATGTGGTGCAAACATAATGCAATGACTATGAATGAAAGAAAATGTGCTACTATTACTTTCTCAAGGGGCATAAAACCAATCCTCTGGAATTACATGCTACACGACACTATACTAGAGAGAAAAGTAACAATAAAGGATCTTGGAGTGATTTTGACATCCAACCTCAGTCCAGATCTGCACATAGACTCAGTTTGCACTAGATCATCAAAGCTTTTGGGTTTCATCATCCGTGCGTCCAGAGATGGTATCAACATCGAAGCTCTTAGGATTTTGTACACCTCACTTGTACGACCTGTGTTGGAATATGCTAGCGTAGTATGGTCCCCATATCAAACTGGACACAAAGATAGACTCGAAAAAATTCAAAGAAGGTTCATTAAAATAATTGGTGTTAAATTGGGATTCAACTATTCTACCGTCCCTATCGATGATGTAGCAAACTACCTGAAGCTGACACCTCTAGAAGAAAGAAGAAAGATGATCGATGCCCTCTTCCTGAAAAGACTTCTCACCAATATGATCGACTGTCCTGAGTTACTTGATCTTATCACGTTTCGAATCCCCACGGCTACTCGGACCCAGGAGTTGTTCCACCGACATCAGTGTTCAACCAGCTACGGATTTCACAGTCCTGTTCCAAGACTTCATCGTCAGGGGAATACTCTAACTCAGCATCACGATTATGACTTCTTTAATGACAGTGATTCTGCACTGAAGAGGATCTTCTCCAATTGAAGATAGCTCCCTTTTCCCCATCTTGTTTCTGCGCTGTGTTGTGTGTGAGGGGGGTGAAAGCAGAGTTTTGGGGTTAGTGTCGTGCTCTTCAACCACTTGTTTTCCTCTATTACCGCATGTTCTCCTAGTTTCATTATATAAGCCATCTTTTTATTGTAGTCCAATCATTGTCAAACGATCACATTTTTTTGCCTTCTTGTTATTGTTAAGTTTTCTTTAATAACTTATATTTGCACTGTTAAATTTTCAATTCATTTTTGATAACCTTTCATCTCGGTTCATGTTCCTCCCAATGTTGTTACATTCACCATTTTAACTTAAGTCACAATCAATCATTGTCACACTCTCATTGTTCATACTTGTTATTGTTAAGTTTTTATATTTTATTGCACTGTCAAATATTCAAATTTTTATATTTCCCTTTTCGATCCTGTATTTAGTGAAGCAGGCTGTTAATGTTAGTTCAATTTTAAGACCATTGCATGTTTTTTTTTTCTCTCTCTTGTTTGCCGATGTTGTATGTTCATAGAATATATATTTGTTTTTCATTTTTCATTACTCTGTTGCAAATCATTAGTGTTAGTGGTGTTAGCATGTACTAAAAGCACAACCAAATAGCAAGATGTAAATCTTATAGCATGTTAATAGTATTTATTGATCCACAAATTGTTATTGCATGTAATTGATTGTACAAATGGCGATTTTGCCGTAAATAAAAAAAAAAAAAAAAAAAGATTTAGGATGAAAGTGTTTATTAAATAACTTCTTGATCAGCATCGTACGTGTTATTAAATTAACTGAAATTACAAAAATACGTAAAATAAAACTTGTAATAATACATTTACAATTATACTGTTTACTCACACAACGGTAAATTCATATACAAGATGGTTAGTGGTGATCGATTTCTATTGGACACCCCAATCATCATCAGACCCAATAGGCGAATGACAAAAATCTCATATATAATGGACGCCATTGCGATTCTTGTCATTCGCCTATTGGATCTCATCAGATCCAAGGTCAGATTGGGGTGTCCAATCGAAATCGATCACCAATCACCATCATTTAATCATATTTACCGTCTTGTGAGTAATATAGGTGTAAATATATTATTACAAGTATTATTTGACGTATTTTTGTAATTTTAAGTTTCTTTTAACCTTGCATATTTGTTTATGCAACTGAATTGGGTACTTACGTATTATACGGAGGCCACATATTTTACAGCAGGCTGCAGCAGTTATGTTAGGTTGGGTTATCATAAATATATGTTTTTTTATCAAATTAAACTATCTTAACCTAACCTAACCAACCAAACTTGCTGATGGTGAAGGTTTACTAATCGAATCTGCCGAGATGCCGCCTAGCCCGCTCCCTGAAGAGTCATCCTCGGTCGGCGATAAGGCTGTTTAATTCCTTGCCGGTTCATGTGCGCAATTTGGACCTTGATGATTATAAGACGGCCCTGCGTGACAGGCTGGTTAATAGGCCTCTTTACAGCCTCGAAGAATTAGGCAACGAGCCACTTTTTAGCCATTGCCACAGTGTAAATAGTATTGTGTAAATAGTATTTTAGTATTTAGTAATCTGACGCAGTCATGCCGATTTCATCGGTCAACGACATAGACTACAAGTATCAAGTAAGAATCGAATCTGTAGGTTAGGTGGCCTCCGTTTAATACGTAAGTACCCTGAATTGCTTTTTTAGGCTGACACTGCTATGATAACAGTCTAGAGTAAACAAACAAGGAAAACACAATCTACAATGTCGCCAGCATACACTGTACACATAACCTAGTTTTTTAAATGGTGGTTTACTTTAACTACGATTAGAACCATATTTTACTGTAAACAAACTGATTTAGGTTAAAAAAAAACACTTGAAACCCCACCTTAAAATTAGAACATGCAAAAACTATATTTATATTTCTAAAATATTTGGTGTTCTAAAACTGTGATCAACAGGGTTTATTCTAAAAAAAGTGATTTTGTTTGTACTTTTTATAGTACTATCTGTGGGTAAAATAATTAAAATCTACCTAATTAAAAAAATGTTGCAATTAACACCTATTTTCCAAACTTAGCTTAACCTTTCAACGGACAATTTTTACTACTTGTGAATACAAATATCTATCGAGGTCAGTAAATCTTTATGACAAATTGAGGTTTGTGAAATAAAATCAATGAATTATGGAAACAACTTAATTCGGTTTAAAAACATTACCTTTTTTTCGTTTATATTCTTCAAATTATAACCAATAATGAATTGAAAGCCTAACCGAATAACTACAATCCTTACCTAACTTAACTCTCACAATAGCACTTCTATTATGTTGGTAATTCAGTTTACATATCACAACGATAGTAGTATTTGGTTTGGTTATAATATTCTACTCCAAAGAGATCCGTTACATCAAAGCACAGAGACCTGTGTAATGGTCTCTTGTGGTCCACAATAAAGCTGGTTGGTACAATTTATGACTCTTGCTGTATATTATAATACATAGTCGAATCGTCAGACTAAAAGTACACAAATGTACAGGATTGATAACAAATGCGTTAAAATATATTGTTTTCACAATGAATTTGACAGGAAAATCTGTTTGACGTCATTGATTACTGGTTTACTTTGTTACTTGCAAGTTATGTTGACACTACCCATTCAATGTATTTAAGTGGAACATTTGTTATCAAACTTTCATAGATTTAAAATTAACTATTTATTCATAGTTTTAAGGAGGAATCCAAAATGTCTGACACCAAAGTCACATATTAAACCAGTATAACCATCAAACCATTTTATAATAGATTGAAAATGGTGGTACCTTTTAGCTGTTTCGTTGGAAGCTACTAAAACAGGTATCTTATTAAGATTTTATCAACTATTTTATTTTTTTTTTATCAAGATCGTTTATCACATTAGTAAAGTAAAAGTTGATCTTACAACATTTTTAGGTTTTTTAACAAATAATATTTTTTTACACAAAAAAAAAATGATAACTTTTTAAATTTTAAACTAGATAACCTGGTTTTTACCCCATTTTCGAAAACGTAAGGTGTGGTTGGTGAACTTTTATACTGAACTTATTAAGAACTTGTTCAACAAGATATGAAACTTTTAAATTCGAAGAGAACATAGAAAGCTATACAAATGAGATTAAAATTTGTTATTTCTATTCTCTAGTATACTCAAACAATAAAAGTAATCTTAACGTAATATAATAGCAATTCGTAACTTGAAATTCCTCCACTTAAGCTTTCTAAAAAAAATTGCAATTGCAAAAGTAAACACTTAAAAAGACAACAATCAAAGATAACAGTTAAGAGAGAATTCGCAATATGACAGCGGGACATTGTGGCATCAGAACCACTTAGAGATATTATGGTGACAAAAGCAGACCTCTTCGCAGCCCATTCTCAAATTACAGACGTTAAAATAACAAAAAAACCCGTCTTTTTATTCTCATCTGGTATGTAATTACTTTTATGTCAATAAATAAGAACAAAATTAGCAAATGCTAAGTTGGAAAAGGTCTTTTCTTTCTGATGAAAAAATATTCCGTATATATTGCATATTTAATTAAATTTAACCAATTTTATATTCTTATGGGAGACAAATATTACAGCTTAACTGTAATGTACCATCGAGGTTTGTGATTTGAAATTAAACTATCAATGAACTACACCTTACTGTTTTGCAAAGTTGAACAAAAAAGAGAAAAAAGAAAAGGATGTTATAAAAACAAATAAAGGTAATGTGAATGGAAATAATACTACTTTGTTGTTATTATAAAAATCAACCTTCAAAAAATACAAATAATTTCTAAGTAAAAAAATCTTTGTTAGCGATAAGACGATTATGTTTTATGCTTGATATCTTGCTTGTTGTGTTAACAACAAATTTATTACCATTCCCTAAGTTACTTTGTTTAACTTATTAAAGCATACATGTTTAAAATACTGATTTACTCGAGACACACCAATTTGGAATCTTTACAAACTCAAAGCCAATTCTCAATATTAAATCTTACTGAACCTTATTTAATATAGACTAAGTAGTCGGACAACTTGAAATCGAAATAGCTTACTCCATGCGGCTGCACTTTAGTTTACGTCCTACACTCATTCGAATGAATATATCGATCGATAATCGATATATTGATAACTTCATTAGTTCGAATGAAATAATCGATCTATGGAATAATATATACATCGATATTTTTCATTCGAATGAGTGTATGACGTAAACTAAAGTGCAGCCCTTCATGCTGTTGGGAACCAGTTGTAAAATTAGTTAAAAATGTGTAAAATGTTGTAATTCACTGGGATAGACTTAAACATAATACAAGGGTATGGTTGGTTTAGTAGATCACTTTTATGTTCCTTAAAAGCTGAGCACATCACTGCCAGTGTTTAATAGATATAATTTGTCTGAGTGTTGTCTTTGAGAAGTTTACACGACGTAAGGAAATTATATTCATACAAAGTACTATGAGACTCTCTTGGGACTTGTACAAACACTTTGACAGCCAAGTTTCTGTGTTCACTTGGTTATATTGTTAGTAGTGCTTTAACGAAACTCTGTCGTAAGGATGCCATGTAATTTGAATTATTCTGGCATGTCGTACATTAAGATAGACAACTGGGATATAAACAACAACAATTTTGGGCAACGTTTTTTGTATAATAGTATAGTTTTGTTAGGTCAGAAAACCGTAGAAAAAATTCAAACTTTAGCAGAATTCCTTGGAAAATGTATACTGGGTATTTTTTTACCATCTAAAACACTTCTTGAATTCGTGTACCATAAAACGTAGTATCGTAATAAACTGACAAAAACTCTAAAGTTACTCATGGAGCTTAAATTATTGAGTTGTTGTCCCCTAACATTTTCACCCCATTGTTCCTATGTTCAATTTGAACTATACAAATTAAAGTCTCTAACCAATAAAAAACGATTTGTAAAAAAAAATTTTTAGACTTCAAAATCTATGGCT